CAGTTTAGTAAAACCATATGTGTAATCATCACTAAAATGTTCTCATAAAACACAAGAGAAAAACCAAAACCACCAGTTCACTTTATTAAGAACTTCTTTAAACCAAAATCTGTCCAAAAGAAAATCGTAAAATATTCTTTAACATAGTACTAGTGTACGTGATCAAATCCGTACTACGCTACCTCCACTACTACTAGTAATTAAAGTTATTCTTAAAAGAGCCATCCTCCTTGTGATTCGGTACCCTCCTGCTTGGATGACCCGATATCTCCTTATTTAGGACACTGCCTGGAAGTGTGGCCATACTCTCCAAAAGTATAGTAAGTACCCCTAAAAGTACCAAACAACCTACTCTGCTGGTTAGACTGTGTCTGATCCCGTCCTGCCTGTGGTCCCTCATTCTGCTGTCTTTGAGCTAACCCAGGACATTGGTTGGATGTATGCCCAAAATCTTCGTAGGCAAAATAATGACTTTGAAACTCATTCTACACCGCTGGTACTGCTTCGAGTGTTAGCTGAACAATAGCTGACTCCGAAGTGCCGCTTTTACGCCTGCAATTACAGCCTTAGCAATGATGTAAACTAACTGAGGAGAATACTCTGGATTCCTGCCCTGATTGTAGCCCCGATCTTGAGACCTTTGAATCTGCTGTACATCCTCATGTTCGATGCGCAACTGACCACCTTCCTCCTGAAGCCTAGGTAGTTGTTGCTTCCCCTCCATGTGCTGACGCCGTAGGCGATCTTGCTGCCTACGTGCCGCTCTCCTTTGTCAACTATTTCCTTGCATGTTCTGTCCTCTTCCAACGTTAATCATTCTATTAATACAGAAAGACAGACATTAATACAATTTAAATAGACCGTAAAAGAATACTACAAATCCTAAACTTAAGCTTTAAACAAGAGAATACGCTATACAGAAGTCTTATACAATAGAATCCTAGAAACACTGAACCTGGAGTGCTCTGATACCAACTGTGATACCCCTCCTTTCTAGAGCCACGAGTGATCAAGTCCGAGCACAGACCCAAGGGATACCAACCAATTAATATGTAAATAAGCACAAAATACAAAACTAAAAGAAGAATAAGATAATAGGCTGAAAGAATTCTAAATTAAAAATCCTCAAAATACTATTATTAAAATCCAATAATCTAAAACCTCCATTTAATTTAACAGCCCAGGAATCCATCTAGTGGACCCCTAATAAAATCCCAAACTGAAAAGGAAACAACTGAAACAAAATATAAAGCTAAGCATGGAAAGCAGTCCTACATAGTCAGAGGAGTGAGTGTCTGTATCTGCTCTGCACGACCAAGCTCTAACCCTGGAACTGACGAACACCTGAAAAATAAGAGTGGGTTAGGCCCACATGCAAGTTCTATCCTACTATAATCCATACAGAAACCCGATACGCAGATACACCCTAAATAGCTCAATAATAACTAGAATAGTCCATATATGTATAAATACACACTATAGGACACTCACTAGCCCAATAGGTCTGTCTTAGCTTGAGTAGAGATACCATACAAATTGCACATAATGTGGTCATGTGTACCTAGACCTACTAGGATCAACAACTATATCCAGTTATCCATCCTAGGCGATATACGCACCCTAACCATGGTCTTGAGACTCAAGCTCATACCATGGCACCATAACTATAAATATATAAAGTCCGTATAAGCCTAATACAAAATATCATCCATCTGATATAATGACCTAACATATGTATAACAATTTATCCAGAAACCAAAGTATGTCATTCAATTATTTATTGACCTAACACAAATACGAGTAGGACTTAATCTTTATAGTTAATCCATACCTCAATCCAAAATAGGTAGGACTTCGTGTTTGAACTAATCCATCTCTAGTATGCCACCGTCTCATACCAGTGCATACAATCCTCCAAATAACATAACTAATAAAACAGTAATAGGTATTCACCAACCATTCTCCAAGATATGCATAAATAAAGTTTAAAACATATATAACAATATTAGGCATTCATTATAAAACCTAAAAATCATATTCCAATCCTTTAAATAGTTAAAATAAATCTAAGCATTTAAATCCTCCAACCCGTCCATAAATTGACACAGTTTACGGCAAATTAAATATCAATTTAATCCATACCAAGCATAGTTAATTTCAGATAATTCACTATACTTATAACTCTATTGAAATATGATTAAACAGTATAAAATCATATACAAAAGAATCTCCAAGTTCTAGTAAATAAATTAATTAACAAAACAATGTGCAACATGTAGGTTTTTCCTTAAATTCATATTGCTCCATTCTTTAACCCATATATGAATTAATGCTTCCGCATATTTTTACAGGTCCATTGCAATTTCTTACATTATTTAATGCAATTTAAACGGATTAAAAACACCCTGTACAGCCCAAACAAAACTTTAAAATCGCTAATACGCGTTTCTGGGCGAGAGCAGGCTCTCACAAGTTGAGAGCCTGCTCCAAAACAGTGGGAGCCTGCTCTAAGGAGTTGAGAGCTGGCTCCACACTCTTGGGAGCCAGCTCTATCATTGAGGGAGCTGTCTCTCTCTCCCTATGAGCCATTTCACCTATTCTGATCATCTTCTTCGCCTTCGGCGATATCCAAACCCTCTGTACTGCTTATATTTATGTTATTATAGTTCAATCTCAGTCCCAGATTAATCATAAAATATTATTATACAACAACGAACATGAATTAAACACAAGCTTTTAAACCAACGGCAGCAAGATTTAATTTCAACTTCGATCAACCCCAAACCAGTTTGATTCAACGAGATCAAATACAGTTTAAACATGCATAAATATATGTTTTAACACTTATTTAAACCCTGGAGTCCACCTAGGCATGCACAGAACACAGGTTTAAAGGAAAGAGTTAGAATAGAGACTTGCCTGTGAGACTTTGAATAAAAATCTCAACGCCGTCTTCCTAGATTTTCCCAGCGAGTTCCGATTACCGTTAAGCCTCCTATTACTCCAGTTCTAACTCAACAGTCAACCTCTACCTTCCTCCTTGGTCCGACCTTTAATCAACGACTGAAACCCCCAACTCTTTCTCTTTATTTTCCTCTCAAAACTCTCTGTATCACATCGCCTCCATTGTTACATGATTAGGGTTCTAAAACCCTTGGTAGACTCATACAAGTAGATATATAGGCCAATAAGTTAAACTAAATTTTAATTATATTAAAAGACAGAAAACTAAAGAGAAATAAAACTAGTCGGCAAAAACTTAATTACCTAAACAGAATATAAAACCCTAATTAAACATTTAACGAAAACAAACAATTAAATTTCCATGGTAGTTACACCTTCTATCATTCATAAGGTTCTGAAGGCACAACTCATAGATCAGCAGTTCATTGACAAAGTTGCAGAAATAGCTTTTGGGGAGGTTCCATTTTACTATATTGGGACTGATGGAAGTTTGAGATACAAAGGGCATTTAGTGATAGCTTCTGCTGATAATTTGAGGAAGGTTGTGATGACTGAGACTCATCACTCTGAGTTTTCTGTTCATCCAGGAGGTGACAAAATGTATCAGGACATGAAGCGGCAGTTTTGGTGGGCAAGTATAAAGAAAGACATTGTTATTTTTATCTCTTAGTGTAGTACTTGTCAGATGGTCAAGATTGATCATCAGAGGCCACCAGGAACTCTACAGCCACTACCTATACCGGAGTGGAAATAGGAGAACATTTCGATGGATTTTGTGGAGGGATTGCCTAATTCATTTGAGGATCATAATTCCATTTGGGTCATCGTTTATAGGTTGACTAAATCAGCTCATTTCTTGCCTATTCGCACTGATTTCACTTCAGAACCGTTGGCGAGACTTTACATTATAGAAATTATGAAGTTACATGGCATTCCGTTATCTATTATATCGAACGGGGATTCGAGCTTTATTTTAGGATTTTGGAAGAGTTTTCAGCAGGCTTTGGGTACAGAGTTGCATCTTAGTACTACTTATCATCTTCAGACAGATGGTCAGACTGAGAGGGTTAATCAGATCATGGAAGATATGCTTCGTTCTTGTGTTCTTGATTTCAAGGGCTATTAGGAGGATTATTTGCCACTTGTGGAGTTTACGTATAATAATAGCTTCCAGAAGACTACTAGTACGGCACCGTTTGAGGCATTGTATTGCCGACCATGTCGATCTCCTATTTGTTGGATGGAGGTTGGTAAAAGTAGATTCTTGGATCCTGAGTTCATAAAGGATACCTCTGAAAATATCGCTTTTATTCGGGATCATATGTGTATTGCTCAGAGTATGCAGAAGAGTTATGCAGATCATCATACTCATACTTTGGAGTTTCAGGTTGAGGATCAAGTTCTACTCAAGGTATAATACCCCTAAATTTTTCAAGATTTTATTTATTTATTTTAATTCATTTCATTTATCTACATAGCTATTTGAAGTGTTAATTATTTGTTTTTGGCCTTAATTTGTTTGTCTTTTAAGTGTTAATTTTTATTGTTAATTTTATTTAATTTTATTGATCTACTTGACTAATTGAATTGTTTATGAAATTCATTTTGGAGTGTATTTATTTGACATTTAAAAGTTAATTATTTAGTGGAAACTCTTTAGTTAATTGTAAGTTTTTTTTATTGGCGTTATTTTATTTATTTTTAGTTAGTTGTATGGATGGATGGATATATATATATGTAAATATATATATAAATATATGGATATATATACGCATATATATATATAAAAAGGTTTACACTACACAGTAATGATTATTGTATCTTTATTATTATTATTTAATTTTGTTTTTGTATTATTAAAGTTTTATATTTCAAGCTTTTGGTGGCAGATTGGTATGTTTATAAAGTATTATATTTATATTTAAAGCCTTTAAATGACACGTGGTTTAGTTGTTATAGGTTTTGGAGTCTGCTAGTTGTGGTATTAGAAGTAGGTTACTAGGTTTATTATATTATATATTTATTTATATATCTAAGTAAAGTGTTATACAACTAGGTATTGGAAAGTCACGAAACAGGAAGAACAGAGAGAGGGCGGCGCGAGAAAGAGGAAGAGAGAAAGGGGGAGAGTGGTGAGGCCGGACCAAGAGGCTTAGGAGGAGGCTGTTATGGGTGATACTCAGAGCAACAAAGGTAGACCACGGCCACCCAAAAGCCGCCGGCGTCAAGGGGAAATCGGAGAAGAAAAGAGTTTTGATCTGAAATTCTTAAAAGGAAAGTCATTGGTTTTCTTATCCTCGTTGATTTCGTGATCAATACATCTGTTGAACGGCTTTAGGGTATTAATCACATATTAAATTAAACTTTTATTTGTGGGTAATAGATCGTAACAGAGAAATAATTAAAATTTTATTTATATATTTGTTCATGATTTTAGTTGTTATTTTTTTTTAATTTAAATGCAATTATCGATGTTTCAATGGTGTAAAATCATGAACCGTGCTTAGTATGGGCTATTGGGATGCTATGGAGCTTAGATACAGACTTTAGGAACTAATTTGATTGAAGAAGCCAATTGGTTTGATTTGGGTTTGGGTTTAATGCCGAGTCTTCTGATCCCATTAAATCCATTTCCTATTTCTTAGAGGAAAGGTGTCTTTTGCGTGACCTTCTGTTGGAAAAACTGACACCCATTTGGGGAAAAAAGTTTGGGGATTTTTGGTTACCTTTGCTGTAATAACTTGATTGATTAGTTCCATAGGCTTGTTGGGACTGAAAGTCACTCCCATGATTAAACATGATTTTCTTACGTGGGCAGATCATCTATTTTGGACATAGTATATCATTATAATGATTTTACTAAGTTGTGAACTATGTATTTAATATTCATTTTATTTATTTTTTTTATTTTCTAGAATGTTACAACATTGTTGGTGGAGGTTATTATGTGAAATAAATCATGCATGCATTGTAGTTATAATTTCTCTTGCACTGCAAGTTACTTATATATCGCAACAAAAAGCTTAAATAGTTTAATATTGATAGCAGATAAATATATAATAATTATCATAGGGGTCTAGTAGCTAAGGCTTTACTTGTGTTGTGTGATACCCCTCATATCCGAGACATGGGTTGATCAGGTCAAAGCCCAAACCCGAGGAAAATATCAGACAATTAAATACTTTAATGAACACAGAATACAAAATAAAATAAGATTAAATATTAAAAGCTGACAGAAACTAAAATAATCCCTTTAAAGATAAATACTTAAATCCCAACAATCCAAAACCTCCCATAGATTTAAACAACTCGGGAATCCATCTCTAGTGGACCCCTAATAATTGATCCAAACTGAAATAAAACAACTGAAATAACATCCTGATATAAGCTATGGAGAGAAACCCTACGTCGTCAGTAGAGTGAGTAGAAACCTCTCCTCAGCACGAACACATCTAAGTATGGAACTGTCGTGTACCTGAAAAATAAAAGTGGGTCAAGCCCATGCTCAAGTTCTATACTACTACAATTCAAACAGAGGCCCGATACGCATGTACACCTTAAACAATTCAACAATAGCTAATAGTCCGTAAATATATATTTAGTCACACTAAAGGACTCTCACTAGATTACAGGCCGGTCTTAACCTGAATAGAGGTAACATGCTAAAAACGCACACTAGGTGGGCATGTGTACCTAAGCTTAAACAGGGTACATCTCCAACCATCGTATCCAGCTATGCATCCCAATGCATATACGCTTCCTAACCATCGATCCTGAGACTCAAGCTCATATCGTGGTACCATAACAATATATTTAAAATCCATCATGTATCCTAGTAGTGCCGCTCAACTAGTGGTTGCCATGACACTACAATTTAATAGGACTTAACCTTTGGTTAATCCATTCATAAATCCAGAGTAGGTAGGTTTTGGTATTTTGAATCCAAACCGTCCCAAGTATGTCACCGTCCCATACCGGTGCATACTCCAACCATTCAGCAGTTGATAATACAGACAACTAAAATAATTATCAACTAAATCTATACATCCAATAATTGATACCAACAGTAGTAATGTAAGCATCGATAAGTAGAGTAAAAGTATACACATAAACATGCTCAGTACATACAGTTCCATAAAATCCGATATACTATTACGTATAAATCTTAATAGCTTACAACAACCAGCAGTTGATAGTACAAATATTAAAGTAAATATCAACTAAGTTCATAACTCCAACAATTGATACTAACCGTAATCAGGAAAACATTAAAAATAGAATTACAGATATGCTTCACTTATAGTGTTCCCAGAATTCAGTAGTGCTAAGTTTGTTTAAAACCTAAATCACTCGATACCAACTCATCCAAAACAAATATAATTCAAGTACATGATCATGATATGAAGTGAAACATGTTTTAATTATATTATCCGTCTCAGAAAATTGCTAACAGAATCTTTAAACTCTAAATAGTGTATTAATTGATTTAAACCATCTACTGTCCGAGCTACCCAAGTAATTAGTTTATTAATACCTCTTGGGACCTTAATTATGTCTCTAAGCATCACCCATACATCCCACATGCATCGCAAAACCCAACTAAAACCACATAAAACCAACCACGGTAACCAAAACTGACTGGAAACGAAAAAAAAATGAAAAATGCATAAAGGAGCCAGCTCCCTAAAGTTTGGAGCTGCCTCCTTTAGCATTGGAGCCGGCTCCAAACCAAAAGGAGCCGCCTCCAACTTTAAAGGAGCCGACTCCCTCCTAGGGAGAGCCGGCTCTCTCCCTCTCTGCCTCGTCTTCTCCGATTCCGACGTCTTCTGCACCTTCTATATCCTTCTACTATGGTTTCCAGAGGTTGAAACTGAACCTCTATATATTCCCAGCCTATGTTTAAGCCCTTATTACATCACCAACATGAATTTAAACAAAAATTTATGCAAGTAAAGTTCATGTTTTAACAGGTTTCCAAGCATACAACACATACCGATATGTTTCAGTTTTAGCATGAACAGAAAACGTTTTTTTTTAATTAATTCAATTTAATCCTAGAACTGTTTAAGAATGCAAAGAATATGAAGCCTAAGGGAGAGAGTAAGGATACTTGCCTTACACCGACATTCGTCTCAATTTTCCGGCTAATCCTCTGTTTGTTCTCTGTTCTTTCCCAACCATCTCCAAACTTCTCTCAGCCTTACTATGTCGTAGTGTATCTCTAAAACCCTAGGCAGACATCCTAGGTGAGTATTTATAGGCCACACTAATCGTAGGCTCTCTTAAACCCTAACTGGATTTACTCGGCCAATACAGAAACCTAGGTTAATACCAATGTCGGCTAGAAACTATGTAACCTATATATGCAACCAATCCTACAGTCACGATAAAACTAATTAAATTTAATTAAAACATAACATTAAAGCAATAATTAAAACAATGAAGTACCACAAAATAATTAAATAACAATTAAATAATTAGTTAAATCAAAAAGTGAAATAGTAACACAATTAAATAAATTAACGACAACTAAATCAATAAGTAAAACAAGTAAATAAAGTAAAAGCAATTAAATAAACACATATATATATATAAACAATTAAAAAGTGAAATTTAACCGATAAAGGAAATACTAGGACTATCCTTTTTAAATTAGGGGTATTACCTGTTGCAAGTTACTCGTATGATAGTTGTAAAAGCTTATGTTGTTATTTAGACTGCTATAGATGATGGTATGGTAATGCATGTGAATGTATATGTATATAAAGTATACATACTTGTTTAGAAGTGTATGATAGGAGGACCATTGTTAGGATATGGTCTTAGAAACACAATTGTTACGATATGGTTCGTTGATACCTGTGTGAGCTGGCAAATAAGCACAGCCTCATACGGTTTGTCATACTATTGTCAGGATATAGTTATGACTTTAGATTGTGCCATTGTCAGGATATGGCTAAAATTACTTGCATATGTATATTTTGAAAGTGTACCATGATACGAGTTTGAGATCTTGGGATCGATGGTTAGGGTTGGCGTATAGTGCCAGATGAGATGAGTAACTGGTTATAGGGATGTGTGTGCCCTGGTAGAAGAAGTACTCGTGACCACCTTGTGTGCGCTTGCATGAGACCTACTATCCGGTTGAGGCTGTCTTATAATCCAGTGAAAGTCTATAGTATGTATACTTATGTATATTGACCTACGTAATTATTGCATGAGTCGGCTAGGATATATCGTTTATCAGGTCTCTATTTGGGATGTAGTAGAAAGGGCTTGTTCATGAGTTTTGACCCACCTTTATTTTTATCTTTCCAGGTCCTCTACAATTCCAGACGTAGAGTCAGCTCGTGCAGAGCAGAGGCCAGACTTCATCACTCTTCCGGTGTCATAGACGTAGGACCTCCACTATGTTTTTGTTATTTATTATTTTTGAGTTAGACGTTTATTTATTTCGTCTTAAGTTTGGGTTTTTTTATTAGGGGTCCACATTGTATAGATTCACAAGTTGTACTCTAGAGGTTTTATTCTTATAATGAGAATTTATTGGAGATTATTGTATTAGAGGATTTATTATTTAATTATTAATTTAGATTTCCCTTTCAATGTTATTTATTTATTTATTTGTTTTTTTCTCTTGTATTCTGTGCTTGTTTATTATTAATTGGCTGATATTCCCTGATTTTGTGCGCGGACTTGATCAACCCGTGTTCTGAAATTAGGGGGTATCACACAAGGTGTCTCCTATGAAAGGAGTAATGCGCTTTGGGAAGAAAGGGAAGTCACCATGGTTTGTCGGTCCATTCATGATTATGGATCGAGTTGGCATTGTAGCTTATCGGTTGGCACTTTCGGATCATTTGGATAATGTGCACAATGTGTTCCATGTTTCCATGTTGCAGAAATTTCTGCGAGATGAGGATCGGTATCAGCATATCGATGTTGGAGAGATTGAGTTGCAACCGGATGCAACATATTTGGAGCCACTGTGTCGTATTGTCGACCGTCGGGATCAAATTCTTCACAATAAGATTATACCTTTGGTGCGTGTCCAGTGGAATCACCATAATGAGGCTGAGTCTACTTGGAAACGGGAGGATGTCATTCGCTCGCAGTTTTCTAAAATACTAGAAGAAGGTAAGCGAATTCCGAGGACGGAATTCTTTTTGTTAGGGGGGAAGAATGTAATACCCCTAATTTTAAAATGATAGTCTTGGTATTTAATTAATTGATTTAATTGCATTTTTAATTATTTAATTAATTTTCTTGGCTATTTATTTAGTTTTTTAATTGTTTATTTGAATTAATTGATTATGTGTTTATTTAAAATAATTGGCTAATTAAATTGTATGATTGATGATGTGTTTTGGGTTGCTTAAATGTTAGGTGCGTACTTATAATTTATTTATTAAGATTTAAATGGGTATTTTTATTTGGTTTTATTTTGTTTTAAATGATTTTGGATAATAGGAATGGACCATCCAATTGAGTTACATGGACTACTTTGATAGGCCACTAAATGGGTATAGGGATTATCCATGGGAAGTTATGCATATATATATGGGTATATATGTATATATAAGGAGGTGATATTTTATTATAATTTTTATCAATATATATATAGTTATATATATATATATATCACGTATTAATCTCTGTAAAACATATTTATTATATGCATCGTATATTTTATTTTATTTTATTTTCCCTTGAGATAGCTGACTTAATAATTGATTGGGATTAGGGTTACTTTATAATATATATATATATAAGTTGTATCTGCCAAGGGTTATAGAACCCTATTCACGTAATAGTGGAGGTAGAGAAGGAATAGAGAGTTGGTGAGAGAACAGAGAGAGGAGGAAAGGAAGAATTGGTCAAGAACCAAGGCTGAACCAAGGAAAGGAAGAAGGGGTGTTATTCGTGAGTTGAACCAAGGGCAACAGAGGAGTTGAAAACAATCAAGGGTTGCCGAAAAAATCTAGAAAAACGACTTTGAGATTTTAATTCGAAATCTCAAAGGCAAGTTCTCTTTCTATCTATATCCATTTGATCTGTGTTCTGTGCATGCCTAGGACAACTTCATGATCATTAATCAGTAAAATTAATCATGTATGCATGCTTAAAAGATAAATTATAGTAGATTATGTATATATGTATATGTTTGATTAACTTTGAATTTCTTGCATGATTCTTGATTATAATTTGTTTAAATTATGCGTGGAGGCTTTAAATAATGTTTAGGGTTAATTAAGACGTAAAACAGTACCATTAGGAACCTTAACAGAGGAGAACATAATCGGAGAAGACAAATAACGAGGCTTCACGTCGACTTCTACAGGCTAGATGTCAACCGGTTTAAGGAAACCAGTTGACATTTGGAATTTTACATCAATCGGTTTGTGTAAACCAGTTAAACACATGGGAGAAAACCGTCGACCGGTTTGGGCTCAGAGCAGGGATTTTGGGTTTATGCCTAGGACATGTTTGGATCTGTTTTAGTGGTGTAAAATTGGGATAAATTGCCCTAAACAGAGACTGGAATATATAATGTTCAATAGACTGCTAAGTTTGGAATTTAATTAACGTAAGGGGTTAATTTATGGAGGAGTATTTGTAGTAAACTATTTTAATCAACTAATTGGATTTTAAATGGTTTAATCATGTTATGTAGGATTGTACAATCTATTTGAGATGCATGTAAATTTCTTAAATTGTAAATTTTAATGCATGCTATTTAGAGTTGTTATTGCTTAATTATAAAGTAATTAACTTAAGGATTAATTAATGGATGGATATATGATATTAAACTGTTTTAAGTCAAATACTTGAGTTAAATAGTTTAGTTATGCTTTGGAGGTTTAATCAGTCTATTTGAGGTGCATGTTAATTTCATATTCTGTAATTAAATGCATACTACTTAGAACTGTTTTATTGTTTAGATAAATACAATAATTGAATATATGATATTACTCGTGATATTCTGGACTATTTGATGTATCGTTTTATATTTGTACGTCATGAATTGAATTGTATGATTTAATGCACCGGTATGGGACGATGGCATTTTAATGTAGGATTAACCAAAGACGTTAAGTCCTACCTATCTGTTTATAAGGGAATGGATTAACCAAAGACGTTAAGTTCTACTTATATTTATGTCAGGTCAACGAACAGTTGAATAACATTACCTTGGTTTTGGATGGATTTATATATATATATGATTATGGTACCACGATATGAGCTTGAGTCTCAGGATCGATGGTTAGGGAGCGTATATGTGATACCCCTCGATTCTAAAGCAACGGGTGATCAAGTCTGAGCACAGATCCGAGGGATACCAGATAATTAATATGTAATTAAACACGGAATACAAAAATGAATTAATAAATTAAATAATAAAAGTTGAAAAGAGTTCTAAATATTAAAATCCTCCAAACGATAAAGATTAATATAATCCAACCTTTCCAAAACTTCCAAGAGCATAATTCAGGAATCCATCTAGTAGACCTCTAAATAAAATCTCAATTGAAAATAAATAACTAAAGATAAAATCCAAAACTAGAACATGGAATGAAATCATACGTCGCCGGTAGAGTAAATGACCGTCTCTGCTCAGCCCGAACAAGCCCTAAGACTGGAACCATCCGATACCTGAAAAATAAAAATGGGTCAGGCCTACGAACAAGTTCTATTCTAATTACAATCCAAACAGAGACTCGATACACAAATACATTCTAGATATCTCAACAATAGTTATCTAGTCCATACATATATATATCCACACTAAGGGACATTCATTGGACTACAAAGCGGGTCTCAACCTGAATAAAAGGCAATATGAAAAACGCACAAGAGGTGGACATGAATACCTAGACCTAACAAGGTACACCTCAACCTATCATAGCCAGCTACGCATCCACTGCATACGCGCTCTAACCATTAACTCCGAGACTCAAACTTATATCGCGGTACCATAAATATATATATAAATCCTTCCTAATACAGAAATATAAAACAACATCCAGTATGTCGTTCAACTGTTTTTATCGACAAGACATAAATCCATGTAGGATTTAACTGTTTTAGTTAATCCATTCCGTATGTATGAATAGGTAGGAATTAGCATTTTGATCTAATCCATCCCTAATATGCCATCGTCCCATACCGGTGCATATAATGCATATTATCCATAAATGATGCAACATTTAAAACAGTACATCAAATAAAAAATAAACATCCAATATGTCGTTCAACTGTTCTAGTTTACAAGACATGAATCCATGTAGGATTTAACTATTTTAGTTAATCCATTCCATATGTATGAATAGGTAAGAATTAGCATTTTGATTTAATCCATCCCTAATGTCGCGCCCGGTTTTTTTCTCCACCTTTTCAATATAAGGGTTATATTAAACACTTAATGGGTTAGAAAAAAGGGGTTTAATGCGATGGAGTGACTATGGTCAAATTATTATTTATTTTGGAGTCGCCACCTAACATAGGTTTTATTGGTGTGTTAGGTCACCTATGATGTCTAAGGACTAAAAAATGATATTTAAGTATTATTTATTTGACATCCATTTTAGTTTATGAAAACCAGATTAATGGGTCCGGGGGTCTGATTGTGCATGGGGAAGGTGTTAGGCACCCCATGATACCCGTGGAACACGGTTACCTTATTTTTTTATTGCATTCCTGAGAAGAAATATATGTTTAGTTTTTAAAAAGATATTTTATTTAATAATGCTTTAAAGGCTCTAATCTTATTTATAGGAAAATAAGATGTTTAAGATATGTATATTTAAACATACGAGTTTTATAAGAGAATATATATTTTAGATATTGATGTGACAGAACCTAGGAGTGACCTAGGTTGCCTACATACCCCATTTTATAAAAGGTGAGGATCAGGTCAAATGTAGTTCAACGAGTTATTAAAAAAATATTTTCTCTTAGAAACATTTCTCCTAAAATAATTATTAAATACTCGTTGAACTACATTTGACCTGATCCTCACCTTTTATGAAATGGGGTATGTAGGCAACCTAGGTCACTCCTAGGTTCGGTCACATCAATAACTAAAATCTCTCTTATAAAACTCGTATGTTTAGATATACATATCTCAAACATCTTATTTTCCTATAGATAAGATTAGAGTCTTTAAAGCATTATTAAATAAAATATCTTTTTAAAAACTAAACATATATTTCTTCTCGGGAATGCAATAAAAAAATAAGGTAACCGTGTTCTACGGGTGTCATGGGGTGCCTAACACCTTCCCCATGCACAATCAAACTCCCGGACCTATTAATCTGGTTTTCGTAGACTAAAATGGATGTCAAATAAATAATACTCAAATATCATTTTTTAGTCCTTAGACATCATAGGATGACCTAACACACCAATAAAACCTATGTTAAGTGGCGACTCCAAAATAAATAATAATTTGACCATAGTCACTCCATCGCATTAAACCCTTTTTTTCTGACCCATTAAGTGTTTAATATAACCCTTATATCGAAAGGGTGGAGAAAAAGGGCGCGACAACTGGCGACTCTGCTGGGGACCTCTCACATATGCTTAAGTGGGTTTAAGCCGAAAAAAAACA